AAATAATAATATAATAATCGTAATAATAATAATTGTAAAATAATAATATAATAATCGTAAAATAATAATATAATAATCGTAAAATAATAACGTAATAATAATCGTAAAACTATTTATAGAAAACTCCGCTATTTAAACTACCTATGAACGAACTGTTATATTTCTCTGATTATATGTAATTTTTAGCATAATTCTAACAATAAAGCTAGAAAAAAGAGCACTAAGTCCTTCCAGTATGCACTACAAATTCTGAAAAAAAAATATTTTCTAGCACAACTTTATTCTGGTATAACAGTTAGTTTGGGCTCTTCATCACTTCATACTCTAAACATTTTCTGTATAAAATCCACGGCTTTTATATAAATACGTATCACTCCCTTGTTGTGTATACCTTTTTTAGTATGTAATACGTTTTGACGAAAAATTAAAAATGGTGTTTAATAAAGACTACCTATTTTTTCTCTCTCGGTTTAGCCACGTATGTTTCTTTAGAAAGTATGTCTAATGTAGGGTTAATTAGTGCTCTTCAGTTAACGTAAGAAATTTGTAAAATTGACTTGTCTTAATAAAGTCTCATTTGCACTAGTCTCGAATAACACCTAGATTCTGTATTGTATACAAGAAACTTTTATTTTTGTTTTGCACTTTTGTTTCGTGCCCTCCTGTTGCTGAGCGGTAAGTTTTAAGGCTTAAAACGGTTGGTTTTGATACCCGCGGTGGACACAGCACAAATAGAGCATTATGTAGCTTTGTGTTTAATGGAAACAAACTTTACTAACAACTGGAGCATGCACATACTACACAATTAACTAAAAAAAGTTAAGGAAAGTCGAAATAGTTAAAAAAGAGAGAGAAAAGGGTTAGCCTGCACAAGAAATAATATATAAAATTCATATGTTGTTCCCAATAGAGACCTCTCTAATATGACTATTTTTTCAAGTTATCCTGGGCTTTTCATTTTTTATTTAGTTCTTGCTCATATACATGAACATGAACATTTCAGCTAATTGTAGCATTTTTTTAACTATTGAATTTATTTTTTAACATTTCATTTATACCATTTAACCTTTGTCACTTCGTACAAGTATGTTATTCCTGGTTATGGGAGCCTAGCGTGACCTAATGATTAGTGTGCCAAGATACTAATTGAAAAGTATAATGTCTTCGCCAAGATGCTTCTGAGCATGCTCTGCACTTTTAGCTGTGAGTGCATTTTGAGAGTAACAGTCAAAGCCCTTGTGGTGGATGTTGTTGACTGGCTGCTTTTCTTTTGGTCAACAATTCACCATTACATGATCCTTTCACGTCTCTGACTTGGCATACATAACTCATGTGTACATAAAATGTCATCCATATTGAAAAACCAAATGCTTCCTCGCTGTGTAAAAGTCAATTGTTTCTAGTATTTAGAAAATATAACCTTATTACTAAATATAATTTTCAATTATCTTAGGTTATAATTATGTCTTATTTTTTGCAGATAATTCCTTCAAGAATTTTGTGGATCATGAACGAATGGCTGAAATCAAACAGCGATCCGTGTTCATTCATGTCGACGTTCCTGGACAAGAAGAAAATGCTCCCAACTGGCCTACTGAGTAGGTGTCGCCATTACCTAAAATCAAAGGGACATTGCCAGTACTTGATTATTTTCAATTGCATTAGGAAGAAAAATTCACTGATTTGTTTCTCATGTGTATAGTGAATACCATGTTGTATAAACACAATAAAATTCTAACGTGTTTACCCGGAAAACGAGTCTAGGACAATCTCCTCATAACAAAATCTCTCAGACAATAAAACGCTATTAAAATTGAATTCGAAAATAGCTTTATTAAAACTAGAAAAGTGATAACTATACGTAAAAAGTAAAAAAAAAACAACAAAAAAACATGCTAATTCACCTGCTGAACTCTAGACCACAGTTAAAGTTAGTACATATAAAAACCTAAGTTATGAGCAATTCCGCGCAAATAGCCCAAAATGTTGCGGTTTCTAGATTTTGTTGCTTAACATATATAAATCTTTCTTTTCCCTTATCAAACTATACAAGCTGAAGTCTACAGAACCAAAACCAGCCGTCTGACAAAGACCGAATGACACGATTTGCCACATATGATTAGCTTAAAACTAGGGTACCCGCGCAAGCGCATTAGGATGTGTCACAAATTACCTTTTTTAAAATCTATTGAATTTAGCGTCATTCATAATGCAGCATTTCGTTGCTTTGGAAGCGAATATATCTAGAAAAACGGATATTGTCAGCGGGGGGATATCGTCTTCGATTATTTTGTCCACGGGGGAGAGGTGATATTGTCCTGTTACTGTTTACACAGAACAAGGGAGTTTGAAAACATTCTTTGTACGATAATATTATCGTAATAACGTGCTGCCTTTTTGTGAAGAAGTAAGAATATTGATTATCCATTAGGAATGCCGAAGAAAGACGTTGAAACATGTAGAATGCACCAGACTATATCCAGTCTGAAGTTTTATATTTATACGATAAATCACTGAGTTGTATTTTAAGACTAGGGATAATCTCATTTTTAAATATATATTGCGTACCATTAAACGTTGGTTTCTTTTAACGTCTGTGTCATTTGAAATTTATCCAAGTGTCGTTTCAACTTTAATAGATATTACATTTGACTTTTTACACTTTCCGGAATATCTCTGCCTGTTTCCATATGATTACATTTCTTTCTGCTAGAAACCGGGTCTCGATACCAGTGGTGGGCAGAGCACAGACAGCCCATTGTGTAGCTTTAGCTTAACTTCAAACAAACAAACTTCCTGTGAGGAACATTTAAAAAAGAGTCTCTAAAATTACTTTGTAGTAACGATGGATAAATCTGCTTTTCAACAGCGTTAGTTAAATCAGCGGCCTGAATTTTATCAACCTTTGAAATTTTAACATTCGTTCATAAAAGATAAGCAAGGTTAGTTTGATCACTGACCTGTGTTTTATCAACCACAGAACGTTGAACATTAATCAACAAAATCTAAGCAAGGTTAGTTAGATCAGCGAGCTGAGTTTTATCACCACAATAGTTAGAAACTTGTAACTCTAGAGTAGCTGAATAATAATAAACAGGCGCATGATAAATTTCATTAACTCAAGAATTGAGAGAAAATTACATTACTGCGTTCGGTATTCTTTCCAAATTCTCCAGAAGTTACTTGTGTAAAGTTTTGAGTCATGTTGCTTTTATATGATCATTGAAAAAGTCGAATCTTCTAGAGTCCCCCCCCCTCCGAAAAGTTTCATATAGAATGAGCTAATAATAAACACGACATGTAATGTGATGAACACCTTTACTAAACTTGTTCCTATTTTCTCCAACAGTGTACCCTATCCTACAATCCAGATGATGGGGGAACAGTTGGTTAAGATCTTAGACTACCTAAAGTAAGTAGTGTATTTATTATGGGAGCTCTCCTTGCAATATACAACATCCATATTTGTTATCGTTCATTTGTTCTACGAAATTATTTTTACGAATTTTCAGCATCTTATGGAATTTTAAATATGCCTAGTTATAAATGTATCTTTAAAAGTTTAAAACCCTAAGAAGCTCGTATAAATCTCCCAAGAACCTATAGATATTAGCAAATCAGCTTATTTCATGGTCTAGATTTCAGAATAAATGCTAATTTACGAAACCAGGAGCTTCTACGTACCGTGTTATTATTGTTTTCTTATACAAAATTAATTCCAATGATGGTAGGCCAATCAATGGAATCAAAGTTTCAATTACACGTTTTATTATCATCCCATCAGTGATCACAGTTACTAGGTTTTAAAGTAGTAAAATCAAGTGTAAGTTCATCTTACGTCCTTTCGTCGATGTTTTACAGAACATAATATTAAAGTATATCTAGAATGTTTGTATGTTTCTATCTATGTTTGTTATTAATTCACCTCGATACTGGTGAAATGACAAAATGACTGCATTAATTAAACAAAAACACCAGTAGACATTTAAAATGGACGAATTTCATCCTGACAAGATTGATTGCGATGCTAATTTTTAAATAAATTAACAAAAGAAGATTCGACCAATGGTAATGAGCCAGTTTGTGGATCGAATGTTCCGGAATTCGAACTGTAATACCCTTGAACACAGTCTGCACTCTCTGTTGTGGGGGCGTGATCAGACTTACTATCAGTCCCATTATTTGGTCGGAAGAAGCAGTTGTGCCGGCAAGCGGTACTGACTGGATAGCCTACCTCTGGTCAGTAGTTCAAAATTAGGAACGACTAAACCTGATCGCTAGAGGTCTCTTGGCTGGCCGATTAGCCCATGACCGAATAGGGTGCAGTTCAAGACGAAATTTCCAATTTCTGAACTGAGAAATAAAATAACTTTTAAACGTGCTTTATAAACAAGATTTATGAAATGATTTTTTTCTTGTTATGAAAGATACAGGTTAATAAATTTCGGTTTGTATCTGTGAAATTCATGTGTTACTATTTCAGGTTTATTCTAAGTTACATACACAGAATTATTAGTCCTAACATTGACTGTTCAAACTATCAATAATTTGAAAAATTCGTATGTTTTATAACCAGTTAGTTTCAACTTAAAGAAAAAAACATTGCGTATTTGTATTACTTCTGCTTACCATATATTTCTAATTTCTCTAACTTACAGCATGTACATAATAAGCGATTGTAAGTCTGCCGTATCAAGTAGATAGGCAGTTAGTTTGTTTCATTTAATAAATTACTCCAAAAAAGGAGTAAAAAGATAAGAATTTCTGGTTAAATTGTTCTTTAACTAAACAAACAACAAAGCTAAGTTAGAATATATTTTGGTATCACTATTTATTCATTAAATCAAGTTAATAAATCCGTTTAATTGGCAATATAGCGCTAGTTATAATCCATGAGAACTTGAGAAATAGGAGATACTCAGAAAAGAGTATACGCCTCTGACACTTATATAGTCTCTGCATCTTTGGAGTATATTTACCATTGATTGGTGGACGATGGGGGATCATATTTGGTTTCTTAGTCACTACAATATTCTACGACATCGCGTGGGAAATTAAGATGTTGACGTAAGCAGCGTTCAGGGGGGTCCCAGAGGTGTTCTATCACACTAAGATCAGGACTTCTTGCTCTTAATTGCAAGTCCACGATCTCTATAATTTCTTGTTCAACTTAGCCCATTACATACCTAGAAGTATCATTTTAGGCATTTTCGTGCATGTAGCAAAGTTTGATATGGCTGTGCCCCCAGAAAAGCTGCATATATAATGTTAATATATATATATATATATATATACTGATCACTCTCTATACCGTACTTGAACCGTTAAGATATGTATATATATATATATATATATAC